AAGAAAGAAAGAAAGAAAGAAAGAAAGAAAGAAAGAAAGAAAGAAAGGGAAGGAGGGAGAGAAAGGAGAAAGAAAGGAAGGTTGGCTCACTGGCTAAGAGCTCTGGCTGCTCTCTCAAAGGACCAGGGTTCGATTCCCGCAACCCACATGATGGCTCACAACCCATCTGTAACTCCAATTCCTGGGGACACAGCACCCTCTTCTGACCTCTGTGGGTACTGCACACATATGGTGCACAGACATGCAGACAAAATACTCACACATAAAAATTAAATAAATGCATAGAAGTGTAATAAAAGCAAATAAAGGTGGGCGGGACCTTGGGAGGCACACCGAGGCTGGCCTCCAGCAAGGCTAATCTCTGGCCTCGTTATATGTGGACACACAGACACATGAAGAATAGAAAGTCCATGGTCCTCACCCTCAGCCAGTGTCTCCCCAGGCCTGGGACACCCTCCCTGCCCCCAAGGCTCTGACACTCACCTCCTGAGTAAGAAACGGGACCATCTGGGCACAGATTGCACTCAGTCGCTTCACAATCTCAGCCTGGTAGAGAAGCAACAAGCTGGATCAGACTGGAGGGGGACAGCCACCACCACCATCCAGCCCCCAGCTGGACTGAGCATTTGTGGAGCTGACTGGCTCAGGAGTCCTGGAGGCTGAGGTCCCCACCACCCTGTGAACCCTCAGAGATGCAAATGTAGATGAACAGATGCCCAAGGCAGCACTTGGTCATCCTGAGGCCCTAGAAAACCTGTATGAAAGGGTGTGTGTTCATCTGACATGACCCTGCTCTCTGCAGGTCTTTGGGGCTACTCTGTGGTTGCCTCTGGTTCCCTACAGGCCTGTGTCCTCTACCAGGTAAGGACAGTTACTACATGGACCAGTGGACCAGCTCTCCTGCCCATATCAGCACCGAGACCCACAGAAGCCCGGGCAAGCGTCTGGCAGCTGAGTTCTACTCCGTGTCTCCGTGCACAGAAGGGAGTAGGGCAGGGCTCTGTGTGGACTCCTGAGTGATCAGGGACAGAGCCTATAAATCCACTCAGCAACAGATCTCCAAACCCTCAGGACTCCTGAGAGAGACTCAGGGTTAGTTACAGACCTCTGGAGTCAACCTCCACATAGCTTACATCCCAGAACACTAAGACCGCACGTTGGCGTCTCAGAAGCCCATGGGATCAACCTTCCAACTCCGAGCGCTATCTCAGAAGCTTCGGGCTATCTCAAATCTCAGATCCTTGAGCACTCAGAACTCTGGGACTACCACCTGAGACCCCCGTGGGTGTGCTTAGCCCCTTCCCACAGACAGCCACATCACACATGGTCACCTGTTTGTGCATCTCAATGTTGAGTCCGTAGGACATCTCGTAGTACTGCAAAGGAGACAGTTTTGGCCAGTGTGGACAGCTGATGCCACCCTGGTGACACTGATGGGGTGCAGCCTCGGGAAGGGGGTTACGAGTATCAGGGCAGGACACAAACACCCTGAGCCTCATGAGGACCCAGACAGGGAACCCACAAGATGGATCACAGTTGAGCTCAGAGAGATGGGACAAGCAGGCAGTCCCGAAAATTGGGAGGGAAGCACCCATAGAAACAGTGCCTGACATCCCAGCTTGCTCTTTTTAGGGAGAGCGGGAGGTGGGCAGCACGGGTATGGAGGCGGGCGGCAAGGGCATGGAGGCGGGCAGCACGGGTATGGAGGTGGGCAGCACGGGTATGGAGGTGGGCAGCACGGGCATGGAGGCGGGCGGCACGGGCATGGAGGCGGGCAGCACGGGTATGGAGGTGGGCAGCACGGGCATGGAGGCGGGCAGCACGGGCATGGAGGCGGGCAGCACGGGCGGCCTCCTTACCATCACATAATGCCTCTGCATTTCTGTCTTCTCGCTGGCCAACTTCTCACACTCTAGCTTGAGGCTGAGCAGGAAGATTAGACAAAACAGGGGGTTGCCTTACCACGCCCCACATGGGGTCCTCACTCCTTTAGAAACTGTCCCCAGTCCTGTTGAACCCAGGTCTACTCCCGGGATGAAAACAGTCCTCAGGGAAGGCTTTTCCAGAAGCTACTCACCTCACATGCTTTTCAGCACCACCTCCACCAGGAAGCCCTCTAGTAGGCCCAATGAGCTCCGTCCCTTGCCCGGGAAACCACGCCCCTCCAAGAGGCCCTGCTCACCCCCATGGGGCCACTCAGGGCCCAGAACTAGGTTCCCCCTCACCTGTGGTATTGAGCTTGGAGAAACTGGAATTCCTCTTTGATCCGGTCACAGATTTCCAGGACTGAGAACTTGAAAGGCTGGCCAGACTGCAGCGGGGTCTGAGAGGGAGAGTCGGGAAGGACACCGGGGTGAGTTCTAGGGCAGCTGCAGGCAGGAGTCCCTTCCCTTGACCCCACCTCCTGCAGCCAAAGATGGGGGTGTCTCCGTACTCACCGGGTGCCTTCCCTGGGGGTACATCCTGCTGATGGATGGGTGAGAGAAGGGACCCCCCAGCTTCGTGGAGGCTTGAGGATGTGGCAAAGGGAAGCTGGGGTGCAGAGGTGGAGCTGGGGAGAGAATTCGGGTGCGGGGAGGATCAGGCGGTAGAATCTGGGGTGCTAAGCTACAGCTGGGGTGCAAGGAGACTGAGGCTGGAAAAGCTGGAAGAGAAGCGGGAGCTGGGGGAGGGATTTTTACGCAAAGAAAGAGCAGCTAGGGAGAGCCTGCTGGGGCAGGGGACCAGGACCCCGCGCTGCACCCCCACCTCCAGCCAGCGCGTCCCGGGTTGTCCAGCCCAGGGGGCAGCTGCAGTCAGCGCTGCAGGTCCGTGGCCGCCGCCCGGGGTCGGCGCTGGTGGCCTCAGTGGCTGCGGAGCCGCCTCCCTCCGCGGGGCTCGGCTGGGAGCCGCGGGCGGGACCCGCCTTAAGGTGGCACCGCCGCCCCCGCCTGCTCTGTTTCTGCTCTGCTCCAAGACCCGCTGGGGAAACTGAGGCTTGAGTTTTATCCTAGTGGGCCCGCCCCACCCCCCAGTCAGAGACAGAGAGAGAGAGAGAGAGAGAGAGAGAGAGAGAGAGAGAGAGAGAGAGAGAGAGAGAGAAATTAGACAAAAAAAAAAAAAAATCTCTGTGTGTGCTTCAGAAGCTGCAAGTGGCTTCTCCGGGCCAGGACACAATGCCCTATGAAAGATAAACACCCCCAAGCGTAAAAGAGAGGTACACACCTGTCCCAGGAAGGGCAGACCCAGGCTCTGCTTGTCAGCCAGTGCTGCCCCACTCTGGAGAGATCCGGGACAGAGCTCAGGGCAGCTTGGCCAGGCTCAGAGCCCACAACAGACTTGCATGCTACTGCCACCACCAGCCAACTGGGTGGCCTCCTCTATTAGACTGGGCTTCTAAAGGGCTAAACTCCTCAAACTTAGTGCATAGGACCTCAGCTCTGTGAATCCAGAACCTCAACACTAGAAAGTCTTCGGCAGGGGTTCCACCACTGACCACGCCCCCAGACCCTCACCTGATGATTCTAGGCAAGGACTCTACCTCTGACCACGCCCCAACCCTTCTCTAGGGTATTCTAGGCGGGGCGCCACCCATGACCACGCCCCCATCCCCTCACTAGGGATTGAGGACTCCCCTCTTCCATGCTCCCAGCCGCCTTTTACTTTTGGAGGCAAGGCCTTGCTAAATTGCCCCTGCAAAACTCAGTTTGGAATTCTCCTGTCCTCAGTCCCTGTAGTAGCTGGGACAACAGACCTCTGTGTGCCATCAGACCCACCTCCTACATCATATCAAGTTTAAGTGTGTGAGAAGCCACTTGTCACCAGGGAAGCCCTCCCAGGAATCATCCTTTGTTTTCAACTCTGGCAGAACAAGACAGCTCTTGATCCTATTTTACATAGAAGAAACCCCAGAAGAGGAAGGTGGGGCATATGCTTTTAATCCCAGCACTGGAAACACAGAGGCAGGCAGATCTCTGTGAGTTTCAGGCCAGCTTGATCTACTGTGGTGATTTGACATCCACTTGGCCCAGGGAGTGGCACTATTTGGAGGTGTGGCCGTGTTGGAGTAGGTGTGGCCGTGTTGGAGGAAGTGTGTCACTGTGGGAGTGGACTTTGAAGTTCTGCCATGTGCATTAGTCAGTCTTCTAGGGCCCTTCAGAAGAAGACATAGAATTCTCAGCTCCTCCTGCACCATGCCTGCCTGGAGGCTGCCATGCACCTGTCTCATGATTATGGACTGAATCTCTGAACCTGTAAGCCAGCCCCAATTAAATGTTGTTCTTATAAGACTTGCCTTGGTCATGGTGTCTGTTCACAGCAGTAAAACCCTAACTAAGACATCTACAGAGCAAGATTCAGAACAGCCAGGTTCTACACTGAGAAACCTTTTCTCAGAGAGGAAAAAAAAAAAAAAAAAAAAGGAAAAAACCTGAGGTCTGGCCCATCATTAAGTCAATAAATGTTTGCCTGGTGCTACCGTGAACTATATGCACTGGGAAACAGTGGGCAGCAATCATGGGACAAAGACCTCACATCCATACCAACGTTTGGATCTCTGTGGGCAACGAAGTCAACTACGGAGGACAGGGGCCTTTATGAGACTCTGGGCCAGTGCTCTATGGAGGAGGACAGGAGCTGAAACCTAGGACTTGCAGGATGAAAGGACTGACTGGAGCGCTCTCTGATCAGACTCCGGGACATGAGCCACAGACCAGCCAAGATCACAGCTGGCTTGTCAGGAGCTGTATGAACAAAGCCACAACTTAGACAAGCATTTGAGTAACAACCATGAATCACAGGTGCCATACGGTGGGAGAGTGCTCAGTGACGTTGTAGACGGAACCTTACAAAGTCCATGGGACCAGAAAGTGACAGAAAGAGCTAGACATTTAGCCCTCTGAGAATGAGTGTTCAGTAACTCCTTGGAGCATCTGCCTGGAATCCCACAGAGAGGGGGCTGGGGGCGTGGTCTAGAGCCCAACCTAGAATCCTCTAGCTAAGGGGTGGGGGCGTGGCTAACGGCGAAGCACCCCTCTCCCCACCCCATCCCCCACCCTAGAATACCCCAGAGAGTGGATGGAGCCACTGTCGGTATCTAGGCCACCATGCTCTTCAGGGTCTAGGTGTCCGGCCTTAAGGCTTTCGCAGATGCTGTAACATGCAGTTCCTTCTGCATGGACCATTCTTCGGTTCTGACCATTCATGTCCTTCCCTGCAAAGGCCAGTGCTGGTGCCATGAGGCATCTCCCAGCACCTGGTACTAGGAACATGGCATCTTACTCCTCAGTCCTACTCCCTGCTTTGTTGTTTACTGATCATTTTTCCCCCTTGCAGACCAAGGAACACACCAGAAATTCTAGCACACTCCTGGCTCCTGGGAAGTCTGGGAAAACACTGTCCCACAAGCTGTTCCCAGGCGCCAGCGGTTCCTGATTCACACGGCTTTTGGTGTCTGAGAACTTCTGATCCCCAGAGGCCCCAGAATGTCCTCTCCCTGCCATCGCCTTTGCCACCCTTCCCCATCTCCCCAAATCAGCTTCATTGCTCTTGGTAGCGTCTCCCAATCTAACCCAGGCTGTTCTCATCAGGGGAGTCAGGGTCGCAGGTGTGTGTCACCATGCTTACTTACACTGCCAAGTTTTGCTCAGACCAGCCCCGACTCCATGCCCCACGCAGCACCCTTCCTGCTAGTGACCCTCAACCTCGGTTCTCTAACGCTATACAATCTCCTCTGGTTTCCTATTACCGGGAGGACACGTTCCCTCTTAGCATACTTTGTGCTGGACACACCCTCTACCCTCCTCTGCTCCAGGTACCCTATCGTGATTGAATGACCTAATTTGAGTTCCGACTCTCTGGAGTTCTCTTTTCCTGGAATGCTATCTCTGTCTTATTCTAAGATCAGCCCAAAGTCACCCGCTGCAGCCTCCTCACAGAAGGCCAGCTGTGAAGGAACCCAGGCCAAAGGGACCGCTCCCAAGGGAGTAAAGCCTGGTTCTGGGACCCAAGGGGGCTCCTGGGAGAAGGGTCCACTGCCCTCTGTTGTGCGGCCTGGGAAGCCACAGCCTCTGAGCCTCCGTGGAAGCAGAGGATATGATCTGGAGTTTCCCCTGGGACCGCCTGAACCCTTTCCCTGGAGTGCAGACACCACACCCTAAGTGGCGAGCATTTCCCACCCTCCTGGGCTACTTTTTCCCATTCAGCCCGGTCCTGGAGCTTCCATTTTGCAAAGTGGGGCTCAGAGCCTCAAAGTGCGCCCCTGCTCACAGGCTCCGTGGTTCTGCGCTGCATAAATGAAAAACTGAAAAAGGAAAAAGCTACTACTAGGAGCCGGGACTGCTCGGACCACCTTAAATCAGACTAGCCGCCCCGCTGCCGAGGGACCCGGCTAGCTCCTCCGCGGTTGGTCGGGTATGCCAGCCAATCGGCTCCCGAAGCTCCCACATGGGTCTCTGACGTCACCCGAAGCTCTTGCCAATGAGCGCTGGGTACCCGGCAGCCAATAGCAGGAGGCGGTGGTCTGGGATGGACCAATAGAAAGCTCCCGATGGGGGAGTGCAGCTCCTCCCTCCACCGCCCTCGTGAGCGGGGCCCCGCGTGGTGGTCCCTGAGGATCGTGGATCCCCTTTTAAAAGTAAAAGTCCCTGGAAGCCGACCGTGGTGGCAGATGCCCGGTGTCCCAGCACTTGAGAAGCTGACGCAGGAGGAATGTTGTGCAGTCGAGACTAACGTGGACGTGTCTCAAAACATTTTATATGAAAAAAATAAAAATAAGTCCCTCGACTCGGTGGCTACCTTGCCTAGGCTCGGCAGCCAAAGCTTCCTTCGGCCTGTTTCAGAGATAGGTAAACTGAGGCAAAGAAGGCACCTTGGCCGCTTAGGGAGTGGCTGCGATTGGATTTTTGTCCCAGCTGACTTCCCAAGCTTATTTCGTTTGACCCGTTAAACCACAGGAGCGGGTGGAATGGGGATACAGAGAGTTGGGAGGTTGGACGTGCTTGGCGTGCCTCAGTTTACCAGCGTGGACATTGCTATTGCGAACAAGCATCCTGGACCAGGGAAAAAACTACGTATCCCAGAAGCTCCTGCGCGTCGCATCTGCTCTTGCTGTCAATCAAAGTAACGTGGGTCCGCGCAGTCCGCGCCCCTCCCGCCGCCTCCCTCCTGCCAGCTCCCGCTCCCTCCCCACCGGCTCCCAGCCCGGCGCGGAATAATTACAGCCCATTGATCCGACCCGGGCCGGGAAAGCGACTCCCTCAGGGAGGCCAAAGCCTTTGGCTTCCGACAGCGCCAGCCTCCCCTTCCCCGCGCCCCCAGCTGAGCCACTGGGCCACCAGCCAGGCCAGTCACCTCCTGCTGGCCAGGGCTCACGGGTGACCTCCGAGCCCCAGTTCCCTGCCTGGCTTGGCAGGAAAAAAAAAATCACGCACAGGAGCGCACACACAATCATTTTCTCCTTAAGAACACGCAGAAGCCACCCCCTCCCCGCAACTTAGTGCCTAGTTTCCCCAGAGAGATGTCCCCTGCTGTGGCTTCGGCTAGGCTAATGAGAGGGCTCAGGAGGGGAGAAGCCCGGGACAGCCGAGTCTGGAGTCACAAAGCTGCTTAGAACATTCCCAAGGCTTCCTAGATGGAGGTGTTTTATACCGGGGTTCTTCAGAGGGCATAGGAGTTGGCTCGTTAGAAATCCCTCTAGCTAAACACTGGTCAAACTAAAATGGCGAGCTCTGCCCTCTGGCCTTCCCTGATTCAGCTTCTGACTATGACTGGGAGAAGCAGAGGGAAGGTGGCCGCAGCCTGGCCTGTGGGAAGTGGCAGGGTCGGCTGCAGCTAGCTAGACA